AACTAATTCCAAGCTTTGATTTAGTGAGTATAACCGTACACCAACATGAAAGAGTCATAGCCTATTCCTTTAAAACAGTACATTTCAAATGAATGAAGCCTTACTGGAATTCTTGATGGTTTAAGGTCTAAGTTATATTGTCCACAGGGTGGCAGTCTCATAGCCAACTGTGTCCCGGGATTCAGTGTTCAATTTCATGTACAAAAAGTCACATAAATAGAGGTATACAATAAATTCACTGATGGTAAGGGCCAAAATTGCCTGTCCCCTATACCCTCCAAAAAAAATATCTGTGGTTTGTACTTCTCTAGCTCTTTTAGAACTTTCTGACATCTTATATGTTTCCTTCGGTGTCTCTGTTGGACCTGATGCTCCCTTTCTTTTTTTCGTATTTATTTTTATTATTCTTCTTATCTTTTCTGAAGCTCCCTTTCTAGTTTGCTGTCACCATTCTACTTGGAGAGAGGCGAGAAGCAACGTGAGCTATTAGATTTATCATACTACAGGAGACCCCTCACCCTGGTCACGACATACCAGAGAGTGAGTGAGAATGGGGACAGGAATGGGAAGGTGGAGACAGATCACCGGCACGATCCCTCCATCATCCAGTACATCCTGCACACTAACACCAAATTAATTTCATCACATTGCCAGAAATCCCTTTTCTTACCTAACTCCTTCAACCCAAGATTCAAGGGCTATCCAAAATCTCCTTGTCAAAAGTCAAAATGATTGCATGATAAACTTTACTTTGGGCAAACTTCACAACGTCTCGATTTTCATGCTTTTATTCATTTCACTTAAATATTTTCTCGATGTTCACTGGGTACTAAACACTGCTCTAATCTGGTGTTACAAAGGGAAATAAGTCAAAGTCCTTGCTTCAAAGTTACACTCCGACAGGACAGTCTGTTAGGGAAATCGCTAGTTACTTTCAGCTTTTCTACAGGTTAAGACGTAAGGTTTGTCCTAAGTATGAGCCACTGGAAGCACACTTGGGACTGGACAGGAAGGAAAAAAGCCATCAGAGATCTGCCGGAGCACTGACGCTATCTGCCATGAACCCTCATCTATTCTAGCAGCTGTATTTCCCATCCCTATCCTACTTGTATCCTCAGCTCAGTCAGAACTTGCTAGCAACTGTTAATATACCTCTGCTCCTGCTTGTTTTGCTAACAGGGCACAACAATGAATCCTCACAAACTTAACCAATTTAAGGTGTATGACTTACTGACAGTTCGAGCAGTTCTGTCTTAAAATATCCAGGTCACTTTCAATATAGCAAGGCTACACATACAGCTGCAGACCATTCTCATAGTATAAGCCTACACTCACTGTTTTTCCCTATACATACAGAGTTATGATGAAGTTTAACTTATAAATTAAGCACAATAAGGTATTAGCAACAATAATTATAAAATAGGGCAATTATTATACTGGAATAGAAGTTATGTGAATGTGGTCTCTCAAAATACATACATCGTTTGACTCTTAAAACAAGGATTGTTCACATATTATATTTGGCTTTTTCAAATAGGAAAAAAAATAAAAAACTCTGTTTTTAAAACCTTTGGGAACATAAAATGTCATTACCTTGATAAAAACCGACCTCTTACCTAGTCAAAATTTATCAAGTTAAAATTCCTTTCTACCTTTCAGCATGATCTCTGATGGCTCTCCCTCCAGGCACTCTGTGCTCCAGCCAACCCAGACTTGGGCCAGTCTCATGCTTGTTCTCCCTTCTCAGCTTTATGATTCACATTCCCCACTAGGAGAAATCCAACCAGTTTTTCAAGGTCCAGGGCAAACATCCTCCTCTCTATGTCTCTACTCCAGAACTTGTCCCTGAAAAGAACTGATTACTCACTTCTCTCGCTCCAGTAACACTTCTCCTACTCTGGAGTCTCAAAAGATTCAATCATTTCTCTGCCTTATTCCTCCTGATACACAACTATGTATAAGATGAGACTATGTCTTGGACAAAGATGACATAGCATCGGTCTTTGGTCCATCCCCAAGTATATAGTATGACTATTTGCAATTAATGGGTACTCAGTTAAAAAAAAAGCACCCATTATTTGGTATAATATGAACCAATTCATTACAAAATGCAGTCAAATGCAGGACCTCTCAGGTCCACATGGTATCTCACCTTCCTTCTGAATCACCGTTCTTTTATTATTATTTTTAAGCCTTTAATATAGGGTGTATGTAGTCACCAGAAAGAGAGACAGAGGAGGAGAGGGAAAGTAATAAATTACCCAACATGAAATACACGTCAGACCAGTTCAGTTGAGCATACTACACACACGGTTTTCAGATCACCAGGTCTGGGATTTGAACCGCTAAGTGAGCCTTGGGAACTTCAGCTG